ATTTTCAAGTTCAGTGGTGTGAGGTTCTCTGCCATTTTCATGTTCTTTCACAGTTCTTGCATGTTGAAGAATGCTTAACCACAGAGACCAACCCCATTGCTCTCTGAATTACTCCTAGTGACATAATCTTGTTTAAAAAAAAATCTTTTGATATATCACGTAAAGCTTTTCCTTCTAAATAGAATCTTGATTTGGAAGGTTTGGGAGGATAAGATGGTAAAAATCAGATTCAGGCTTCAGGACCAGAGCAAATCCATATATTTCTAGTTAAACTATTCAAAAGGAAAAAAATATCAACATGTGAAAACAATTGGAACTTATGAAACAATTCTACTTCATCTTATTAGAGATTTTTAAGATAGTAATCTGTTTATTTGGTTTTACAAAGTAAACAACCATATATCCAGAACCTAATATAAGAAAAACATTATATTAAAAGAGTATCAGACAAGGAAAGTACAGAAGATCAGAGAATAGACTTACCGCAATCATAACACTTTCATGGAATATAAGTGGTGATAGGAAGACCCAAAATATATCGTAAACAAATGCACAACAGAGAAGTACTGAAGCAACCTGAGTGAAAGGGTGGTAATTAAAAAGTGTGGTCTATGAATCAATAGATACTAAATAAGATTCTTTATCTACCTTAATATTGGGTAACCGAACCAATTGCAGGACCGATATCATCAAACAGATGCCCTGTCAACAGGGAAAATAAGCTCTAAATAGTATAACAAAATAAGTTACCAAATATACTTAAAAGTCATATTTACAATGCATAATGAACAGGCAATGATGTAGAAATTTGACACATACAATGAGGATTGTGTTGGCGTATTTACTTTGTATGAGAAAGGATTATTTTAAGAAGAAAATATACAATGATGTAAGCTCAGCCCCATTAGGGGTTTTCTTGTAATTTTTTATTATTTTGATAATATATAAAGGGTCTTTCTTTAGAGAGAGACAGATTGGAAAGTGGTATTGTTAGACCCAATGATCGGTYCTATCCTTGCCCCATCTTCTCTTTTCCCTTCTTTCCTATCCTTGTCCCATCTTCTCTTTTATAACAAGATGGTATTAAAGGAAGAACACTTTGGTGGTGAATATGTTGATAATGATCAGATCTGTTAGATTCTTGTTGCTATTATTTCTTCTGCAACAATACAGTATTCATTGTTCTTGATTAGTTTTCATTTAGTTCTTGTTTATGCTTGGTGCCTTTGGATTTCTGCCTTCTTGTTAGTTAGATCTTTGTATTCTTAGTTTCAACTTCCTTTTGTCATTCATGTCATCATATTTGTTTTTTACTTTAAATAGCACATTGCGATTTTAGTATGAAAATTACTAGAAGTAGTAAGTCTGAACYTTACAGTAAAAAGTGATTTAGTTTCACTAAATAGTAATTACATGATATGGGCTGTGCTATTCTTTAGTTGTTTGGGTCTCTATCATCTTGTTCGTTTGATCTGTCTATTCATAACCTCAACTTTCTCTTGTGGTTCCTGTTATCAAATCTATTTTTTTCTTTATGAATAGGGAAAATTCCCGATCAGTACCCTGTACTTTGGCTCGAGTGACAATTTGGTCCCCGAACTTTAAAATGTGACAATTCAGTACCCAAACTTTTAAAATGTGACAATCCAGTACCTGCCGTTAACCAGTCCGTTAATCAACCATTAAGTGACATTTGAAAAGGGAATYATATGGCATTCTTAGGGCATTTTTAACTTTTCAARTGTCACTTAACGGCTGATTAACRGACTGGTTAATGGCAGGTACTGGATTGTCACATTTTAAAAGTTCAGGTACTGGATTGTCACATTTTGAAAGTTCAGGTACTGAATTGTTGAATTTTAAAGTTCGGGGACCAAATTGTCACTCAAGCCAAAGTACAGGGAACTGATCAGGAATTTTCCCTTATGAATATTGGGCCAAGATTATATATAGTATGAGAATTGACATTAATAGTTGTGGAGAGTATTGATGTATTCTAATATTGTGGTCCCTGCTGCATTGTACATCTTTTATTACTTTATTTTTTTCTCTTTCAGCCCCTATAAGGGCTTTCTTGTAATCCTTTTGGCCTATAAGGGCCTTCYTGTAAATTCTTTAAGCTCATGTGAGCWTACTTGTAAATATTCATAATATAATAAAGGCTCTTAGGGGGTGGGGGTCAGATTCATTCTTTGACACCCCTGAAACCTGGTTCTACTCTCTACTGTTCATCTTATTGACATGGTATCAGAGCAGGTTCCATGTACTGGCTTTATCATCTAATTTCTGCTCAAGATTGAAAGTTACTCTTAAGTTCTCACATCTGGTTTGAAGCTTATGTGGACTGTTTTGATCAGCCAACACTATACTCTGTTCTTTGGACCATCAGATCTGCATAAAACTTTGGATTTGGTGTTGCCCAAAGGAGCTGTAGTCATATCTCCTTGCTTGGTCAGGTTTGAATCAGTTTGGAAAGGGTTTTGAGTTCTCCTTCTGGTATTTCTCCTGGAAAAGGACGCATACCAGGTAGAGTTTTCTCTGATTTCTCTTGATTGGCTGCTTTGTTCATCATGAAACTCTAGAGTTGGTGTCACCCTAGCCTACTCTAGATATTATTTGGTTTGGTTGARGATTTCAATCTGTTTTTGTAGGGTTTTGATCCCTTCTTTTAATCGGTAGGACTGAAATCTCACCTTCTTGGACTGTTAACTTTGAATACTTTGCTAGTTGGACTTGTTTCTTAGGAAATCCTTCTCCTTCTCTTGTG